CTAGAGCAGAATTGGGGGGCCTAAATAATGAGATGGCAAATGAGGTGGCCTCGAGGCCCTTCTTGCCCCCCAAAATCTTTTTCAATGGCTGGACTGTTGGTTCTCGTCTCATGCTAGCCCCAGTTTCAACATGAAATGTGAGTTTCACAAAATTTGGTATTATAATTTCCAGAAATAGGCAATTAAGGCATCTGTCAAGAAGAGACTAATTAAAACTCAATGCATGAGAGATACATATGTGCAAATAAGAAAAGATGTTTAGAATGAACGATTTAAAAATGTAAGATAAAGAAGAGCATCTGTAGTTATGGTGACTAAAATTTCTAACTAAGTTTTTTGTAACTAAGGCATTTTATAACCAAAATCATATGTGTATATATTTATACACTTACATACATGAGTATATTTTTGTGTGTGGATGTGTTTCACCTGGAGGTGAAATACAGAATTGTTGATAATAAACACTGGGCAGCTCTGAAAGAGGATACTGTACTCATCTAGAAGAGAGAAGCGGCAAGTCCCAGTAGGAATCTCAGAAATTGGGAAAATATCAGCAAAATATCTCAGTAAAAAAGGGGGAGATTTAAAATGAGTACTGGCCCACATGTCTACTGTATAAATTAGCTGAGGGTCACCAAATCTGATAGCTTTTTTAAAAAAATTATAAAACTAAAGCCACATGTGTGTGGGTGCACACACATACAGAGCATCATCGTAGGCTGATGTGGAGCAAAGTACCTGAACTACAAAGGAGATGAATTGGATTACTTTTAGTGTGGCAGGACCTGAGATCAGTATTTTAACTTTTCTATTACTTAATGGGTAATTTTTATAATATGATTAAGAAATCATCTGGACCAAATACAGTTTACCTTTAAGCAATTCATTTTGTACATACCCTATACTTTGACAGGTCAATCCTTAAAGAGTTATGCAACTGGTCCAGTAGTTTTATGAATTTTTCCCTCTGTGCAAAGCAAACACAAAATAGGAGAACAGAAATAAATGGCCATTCTAAAGTAGTCCTCACAACAATTTTATGAATTATTGTCCCAATTTTATAGAAAGGAAGGATCAAAGAGGTCAATGACGTGTTTAAGATCGTAGAGCTAGTATGTGGCATAGCAGTGATTCAAACTCAGGTCTCTTTGACATCAAATCCATGCTCTTTTCAACAAGTCATGCTGCCTCTCTATGATAAATGAGAAATGTATAATTGTTCTAACAGAGTACCTAGAAAGCTGTGCTCTGTAGAAACAGCTCAAATGAATTGCCTCTGTACTTCTGCCTGCATAATAACTCATTGCGATATAATGCATCAACAAGAGAAAATACAACCCATACTTCTTTCTACTCCTGCACACCATGCCACCTCCCCAAAATAAATTACAGTTTTTTAAACTTCTCCCCACCTCTAGAAGTGGGAACAGCTGTTATCTTTGTCAAAAACCAATTTGAAAAAGTATTTCCCTTTTGCAAGCAAATATAGACTTCATAACCTGAAAGGATCGATCTCTTTTAAAGGATGTTTATGATTTAGTGATAAAAATAGTATAGCAATCAGGCTCCCAAAAATGATGCTGCCTCCTTTTGATGCTGTATCAGTGTTGGACTGTCCTCTTTGCAGAAGTATGACATGATGGGGAGAACAGAGCTTTGCTAATATGTGTAAGGTTGAAGTTGTATGTATTAAATACAAACAAGGAAAAAACATTGAAGTCTCACATACAAACCCTATAGGTAGACACTCCACTATTCCACTATTCTAAGTCC